TATTGTCTTTACAGAGCTTGAAATAATATTTCTGATAACTAAAAGGCTGGTCTGAAGCACCTTCCATGACCTCTGTAGGCCAGAGATATGCTTTTAGGAAAAGAAACAAAACAAAAATTATAATTACAATGCAGTGAACCACTGTGGTTCTGAACACTTCTCAGGGCACAGCCTGGCTGCTGTATCTTATCTGTTAAGCGGTTTAACAAGCCTTAGTTGCCTCACTTATTTTTAGCTGGCATGGAATATACTACCAAAAGATTGTGGCTGCAGGTGCATTTACATACCAGCAACACCAGATAAGTAACAATTTAAGAAAAAATATTACTTCAGAGCTTTGCCCTCTGATAGTGCAAGAAGGTGCAAAAACTAATGTCTTGCAGACTGTTAAAAAGGAAGGAAAGAAACAATGAAAATAAGAGAAGAAAAGCTAAAGGAGTAATACCAACTAGTAAAACTGATTAAAAATGAAGCTTGCTTGCATTTTGTTGTTAAGTAGAGAAAAATGTGTTTGCTCCAGCAGCAATGTTCTAACTATACACTTGCCACACATAAAACTTTCATCCACCATGGGCTCTCTTTATTTCTTTTCATGATGAACTGTCATACCTACCCACAGCAGCAGCTTACCTTCACTGCTTTCTCCACCCATGCATGCTCTTGCAGTGCAGGAAATCCTGTGATCAAGGCAACTTCCTCTCCCACATGCCTGCTCTCCTCCATTTCTGCCTTCTCACAACTAAACAATTCTCCCTCTGCTGCTCATCTGCACACTTGTAATCCCAGGGAGCTTTTCATTGCTGCTGCTTAACCCTTGTCAAGCCTTCCTGTCTGTTTTCCTCTACTTGTTATCTCGCCATTTTCTGTAAAGATAAAAGTGATAAAATATTCTCTTCATGCTTCCTCTGTCTACAAGTCTCTAAGTGGCAGTAACAAAAAGCTTATCAACATGTCTTCTGTAACTCCATCACTTGCCCTGATAACTTCACCCCATTTCAATTCCTGATCTTCCCAACACTCATTCCTTCATTTGTTCACAGCTTTAGTCATTCAGTCTGCTCTGATTCCTGGCACCCACAGAGATATGCTTGTCTCTTTTATCATTAAAAAAAAAAGAAGAAGGGAAAAAATGTGCCTTTGGTGTAAGTGCCTCTTGTCACCTGACAGGTTCTTCCAATCGCATCTCTGTCTCTTGTTGGGTTCTACCCTAAATCCCCATCAAACTTGGTTTTGCTTCCTCTTATCTGAAAGCTTCTCAGTCCATCTTAAAACCAATCTCTTGTTTGCCCTTCAGTCACATTTAGCATCTCTAGCTCATGTCTCAGCTTAGTTTTTGCAGTTTTTCTCACTTTTCTCCAGTCACTGTTTCAGCTTGGCTTGTCAGTCCCTTCTTCCCTCGTGTTTCCTTTTTCTGCAGGAGCATTGGTGAGCACTGTCCTTGATTCCGCTCCCTTCCCTCAAGCTCACAGCTCAACACCCCATTGTACCTTTTGTTTCACTCTGTAAAGACATCTCCTGTTTCCTGCAGCCCTACAACTGAATCCCACTACTGCCCTTTCAGGTAAACACCTTCCTGCTTTATCCCACCTTGTGGCGCAGGATGAGCTCCTGTTGAACACCTGTAGAGGTTGGGGATGGCAACTTATTTCCTATAAAGCTCCTCCTCATCTGTATGCAGACATTCTATATAAATACTGCATCTAGGTATCAGGCTTTCACCTAAAGTTTAGAGCAGAAACACTTGTGTGTGTTTGCTGCTTCATTGTTCTACACAATGTTTAAAATAATGCTTGCTTGGATTGTCCCTGAGGCCACCAAGCTCAGAGACAAGTAGTCACTGTGATCCTACCACAATGAAGAAATGGATGTATTAATAAACCAATAAAAATCTTTTATCTAACAAATTAAAAGAGGCAATTGGTTAAATAATGCTTTTTAAAAGATATATTGTCAATTCCTACTTAAAGACATCTTCTATTAATCTTAATTCCATGTAGCATAAGGAATCCTTTTTGCCATACTTACTTTGACCCATTACATTCAGTCCCATCATTAAAATATATGGGAATACTTGCATAGTTGTTATTATTATTAATAAAATGCATTTACTTTATGCTATGCATAAAGACTAACTCAGAAGTTTCCTATAACAGTGTTTGGTGTAGAGTAGGCAGTCTGTGACCTGAGATACAATCAACTTAGATAAGACAGGCATAGGATGTGGGAAACAGAGAAATTACACCAAGTTTTAAGGCAGTGGATGATATGTTGTTTCTCTCTCTTTTTTTTTTCTTTTTTAGAAGAGAAGCTAGAAAAATCAACAGAAGGGAAATAATGAGGAAGTGGAGAGGATGACCAAGAAAAAGGAGGTAATGAAGATAGGTATGGGACAAAACTTGTATGAACAGACAGCAAGGGCAGGGCTTGGCATAAACTGCAAGTCTGACAGAACAGCAGAATTAGACCCAAGATCAGAAGGCCCATATGCAAGTAAAATTCAGTGGAATTTCAGTTAACACCATGAGTAAGCACAGCAATTACAGGATTAAAAAATGGCAAACAATGATAGTTTTTTTTTCTCAGCAGTAAATGTGTCATATAGGGAGAATTACCACCCAAGAAGGTATGTGTGTACTTTTCTTTGATTAACCACAGGCTTTGAGTGGGGAGTGAAAAGCAAGACCAAAACCCAAGTCACAGCCCAGAGGAATTCTTTAAAATTACCTGTGGCATGATGGGGCCTGGTGAGACAAAAAATAATCACAATGACCCATATTCTCAAATTTCTCAGTCCTTGGAGTCTAGATGCATAAAGAATGACAGTTGGTTGGGCCTGTCTCAGTTCTCAAACCACGCTGCTTAGGCAGTCTACAACCACATGGTTATCCTGCTCTTGGACATGGGACTCCAAAGGTTTAATCAAACAGCCATTAACATGGGACAACTGGGAATCACAGAGAGCCCTGCCAGCTGGGGCCTGCTGGAATTGGAATTGCCAGGGTGGGAGACTGAGAGGGACCTGACCAGGAGAAATGGGGATTTGGAAATGAGCAAGGCTTTGAAGAAAGCACTGTCAGAAACAGAAAAACACTTAACTAAGTGCCAGTGGTAGGGAAGGATGAGACAGGTTCAGCAAAGCAAAAAAGAGAACTGGAGAAATAAAAAGAGAAGAGAAAGCAAAGGGAAAAGTATGTAGAAGTCCTAATGAGATGACAGTCATTCACGTTCTTAGCAAGACTGGGTGAAATACAAAGCAGATGTTATGGGCAGTGAATCTTGCAAGAAAATTAAGTTATAAATCTGTAATCCAGAGCACTCAGGTTATGTCCATCAGCTGACCCTCTCAGACCCATGCCAAGTGCCACAAGTTTCATTTTAGTTTCAGGTTCTGGTCTGTAAACTTGTAACTTCAGCACAGATGCATTTCTGCAGTCATCTGGCACAGTTTCATGCACAAAAGCTGCAAAAAGAAGGTGGGCAGGGAACCAGGGCAGTGGCATTCACCACTTCAGCCCTGCAGCCTCAGCGTGGCCTTGGCTCCCTGTGCCTTAAACAAAGGTGTGGTATTTCCTCACTAGGCAGGCTATCAGCACAGGCTGAGGGAATGCACGGAGCTGACAGACAGATGGTTCTAATCACAAACCACATCTCTTTGGTACAGACCTGAGGGGTTTAAAATCTAAGCCAAAGCTGCTTGAAAAATCACAAGAAGCCCCCTTGCTGGATGTGGGGTAAGCTCCTCTGACATGGTATAAATTACGGTATCTTATAAAAAAATATTTGCTTCTAACATTCTATTAAAAGTTCAATAGAAGGAAACTATATAAAAATATGTTCTCATAAAGATGAGGATCTCTATCAGGCAACATCTACAACCTGTCCTGAGGACATTACAACTTTCAAGTGTACTGGCCCTGCTCTACTATCTTTACTATCCTGACTTAATTGTGGTTGAGAGTTTGTGTATAGCATATCCTACCCTGTCAGTAGCCTATGCTGAGACAGGCATCCCTGAAGATGAATTCTGACCTACTGTTTTAGGATAAAAATTGTTCTAAAAGCAGCTCAGCTGAAGAACAGTTCGTGAGCCAGACCAGATCACTTAAAATGTTTCTCCAGTGTTTCAATTCACAAGTGGCTGTGGGCACTCCGGAGTTTTAAGAGCAGATTAAATTGAGCCACAAGCCATACTTGACAGAGGGTGGAGCATTAACGTGTGCACTCATTACTGCAGTAAGTTAGGTAATAATTGTTACTTTTTGCCCACAAGCAAAGGGCTTAACTTTCCGTTTTATTTACAGATGTGTAAGCTTTACCTGTGTATCTAGAAGGCAAAATCTGCCCCTTTGGCATGGACAAACAGGACTTTATGAACTGTATACCATAAAATAAAGTCTGGTTACAGGGAGTAGTTGTCTTCTGGACTCCTCACCCACATCTCAGCCAATAAGGCTGACATATCCTTGGGCAAAAGGAATTAAGGCCCGGGCACGTGCTCAGCGCTCCAGCCCCGAGTTATGTAATATCCAAAGCTAAGTTTAAAAACAACAAACTCTGGCCCCACTCGGTTGCAAAACCAGCGGAGCTGGAATCATTAAGCAAACCTCTGGTCCTGGAGTAACTGACTCAGTGCCCGTAACACACCTCGGGCTGGAGCAGGGCGGCACTCGGAGCACAGCACAGCCCAGCGCTCCGGCCGTAGCCGGACCCTCCATGCGGAACCGCGGGCCCGCTCCGCCGCGGCCCAACCCGCAGCGTGCTGGGAGCGCGGCCCCAATCCCGATCGCTGGGCCCGATCCCCGGCCCCGCCGGCAACTCCCGGTCGCGCCTCGCCCGCGCGGCCCCACCCACCGCGGCAGGGCAGCCAGTAGCGAGAGCAAAATCCTCTGACTGACAGGCGGCGATGTCCAATCAGGACGCGCCTTGTTGCGGTGTGGCGCAGGCTCCGGCGGTATAAAGGCGGCCACGCGTCGCGGGCGCGGGCCTGAGTACGTGTCTGAGGGGGAGGCGGCGGTGGCGCCGGTGCGGAGCAGCCGCGGGGAGCGGGATCGGCTCCAGCGCCAGTGCCGGGGCGGTTTTAATTAGACTTTGGTCAGCCCGGGTTTTATCGGGAGCGGATTTTAAAAGTGAGTACGAGCGGAATGGCGGCGGCGGGAAGGGGGAGGGGTGTGAGCGGACCGGATCAGACCGGCCCGGCCGGGGAGGAGCCGCTGCGCTGACCCGCGCTCGTCTCTCGCAGGCGTCTCTCGTCCCTCTGCCTCTGCGGACGGGGCACCATGTCGGAAGCGGAGCAGCAGCTGGCGGCCGGCGCCACCCAGAACGGGCACGAAGCGGCCGAGAGCGCCGGGGAGCAGCAGGCCGAGACCGGCGCGGCCGCTGCGGCGGCGGGAGCGGCAGGAGCAGCGGGAGCGGCGGCGGCGGCGGCGGGAGCCGGCCCAGCGGCGGGAACAGCGGGCACGGCCGCCAGCCAGAATGGGGCCGAGGGCGATCAGATCAACGCCAGCAAGAACGAGGAGGACGCGGGGTAAGCGCGGGCGCCATGTGCGGAGCGCCGGGCCCGGCGCGGCCCTGCGGCGGCAGCGCCCCCAGCCCCGCTCGGGCCGGCGGGAAGGGCGGCGGGAGCGGCCCCGCCGAGCCGGGGCCCTGCAGCACCAGCGCTTCCTTTGTTCTGGCGCTGCCTTTTGTTGGCGCCATGTGGCGGCTGGGGGAGGGGCGCCGAGCGGGGCTGTTGCCGTCTCACGTTGTAAAATGGAAGGGGATTTACCTCTCCCGCGTTTTCTTCATCTTTTCCCTCTTTAGCGAAAGGGGCGGATGGAAGGAGTTGCTTTCTGTTGGGGGAGGGGGGCTGGCTCAAACTTTGCGGGGATCGCGTGGTCCATCGCCGTTGGCGTCGATGTGATTTTGAATGTTTTGTGTAAAGCACATAAAAAATAATCCTGGCCTTGGAAGGCAGCGTTGATAACCTAAGTATTTTTTAAGGGAAGTAAAAGGAAAACCAGCACGATTGCGATAATGCGCGGTGTGTTTAAATCGGTAAGAGCTATTTTGGTGTGCTACTTTGCAGCATTGTCAGAAAATGCCTTAAGTCTTGGAAGGGATTTCTGGAGGAGTCAGTGTAGTTTCGCTGTGCTTTGGTGGTGGAATCCTTGTGTGTACGAGAGGAATCTCTTTCCTATCATACTTGGTCTGTTCATAAACACGCATAAATGACACGAACGTTACCTGACTATTTCTCAAGCAGTTCTTTGTTATTCAGGCTACCCCGTGTATTTAATTGGAACTCCCTTTGTTACCGCTGAGCTCTGAACCAGAGGGTCAGATCCCTTAGGTTAAACAGAGCTCTGAAGCCAGTGTTATAGATTTTTGACTATAAAGGAACCAATAACACTTGCACAAGCTTCCCACGAGCTGGGGCCGGATGTACTCTTTGCAGACACTAGAAGGATTGCAAACCAGGCCTTTTAGCTCTGTACGAATTTTTCTTTAATGTTTCTAGTATTTCGTGCTGAAAAAAGGGTGATGTATTTTCCTTTCATGAACAGGAGGTGACAAGCTTCAGACCCAAATCGGTATGAAATGAAACTTCTTAGAAAATCACTTATTCAGAGGGATTGACGTACGTGAAAAATGTAGTGCTGCCCAAGGCACTGATTTTACAGTGTTTTGTTATGTGCTAAAATAAGCTTCAGTTTAGCTGCACAAATACACTCAAGAGGGAAAAATGACTGCGTGTTAAGGGTGCAGTTGTCCAGTCTGTGACCTCTAAAGGAAAAGCCAAATACCGGGTTTTTGGTCTCAGTTTCAAAGGTTCAAAAGTTTTAACTACTGTGTTATTTAAATTAGGTATCGGTTTTTCCAGTTACAAAACAAAGCACTGCAAATTGCAAAGTGTAACCCATAGTGCTGTGGTGAGAGGTGAGTTTAGCATGTGGCAATGCCATAAAGCAGCCAAAGCTGCCTCCAGACAAATTCCTGTCATCTCCCATCTTTTGGTTGTTCTGTGTGGTCAGCGATGCCAGGGTGTGCTGTCAGTACAGGTTAGAGCAGCCACGGGCAGCTGTTGGGATGGGAAGGAGTCCCCCAGGCCCCTTTCTTTGCCCCAGTATTGAAAGGCTGAATAAAGTTCGCTTGGCCGTTCCTCCAGGGCTCTGCTGTAATGGCTGCAGGAAGCACACGCTGTATTCGGGCCGGTGCTTCCTGCTGCACTCATCGAGAGTGCACAGCTTGCTCTGCTGAAAAAACTTGACTTCAGCAGATAAAGGATATGGTTTCAGCCGGCTTAAGAAAAAAGGGAAAACCCCCGTAAGGTTCCCCCCTCCCCATTGCCTCTTGTGCATAAATAGATGCTGAATATTAAAGTTACACATAAACACCAAAAGCCAATTTTATTTAAGCGTAGTTTCATTTCTGAAGTGCTGCTACCTTCCAATGTCAATCTAGGTTGCCTCCAAACAAGAGTAATGACAACTTGAACTGCTTCAGTCTATAGTTAGATAAAAAGGCTCGAATGCTTTTAAAAGCTTAGTTTGTTACCTTGGAAACTATGAAAATAGAAAATGCAGCCATGTTATTAATGTTTTCATTTGAAATGAAGCATTCGAAAAATTCCTTATTGCCTGCTATCACTGTTTTGTTTGTTAGCTTCACTTCTCTATTGTGCCCTGAATTTCGTTCTTTGAGCTAGATATCCTCCTTCAGAGGGTATTTTGTATGGGAAAGTGGGCAGGGAAGAACTGTATCCACCTACTTGGAATTAAAACTGAGGATGGAGAGACTCCTGTAGTACTGATGAAGACAGACCTAGAGTCAGTAACTAAGCAGGAAGAAGTGCACAACTAACACAGTAGTTAAGGCAGGTCCAAAGTCCCATCTGTTGTATGTGACTGTTATTGGAGGTCACAGATACCTGGACTAAAATTTTTACAGCTGTTTAACCAAAACCTAAGAGAGCTCAAATACTTTGCTTTTGATACCTTATTCTTTGCTGAATGCTTTCAGAGCAGGAGGAATGATCCTAAGTTCTTTGCAAAAACTGAGTTGGCAGTACTTGATAATCAATACTGCTTTCTTGCAAATTATAGAATACATTTGTTAAAACAAAAGTTACTGGCAAGGAATATTTCAAGCTATTCTTATTAATTGGCAGGGTGCATTGTGGCATTCCCTCAAAAAGAGGGGGAGAAGCCCACCCTTGTGCACTCTGTAGTATCAGCAGCTTTTGACAAGGTGCAGTTGTTGCACTGGGAACAGGCAGTCCTGTTCTGACAATGCTGCTGAGGTGTGTACCACTGAGCATCTTACTGCATGGCCTTTTCTCAGTGCTTCCTGAATCTGAATAGCTCTTCTCTCCTTGAAATTTCAGGAAGATGTTTGTTGGTGGCCTCAGTTGGGATACAAGCAAAAAAGACTTGAAAGATTATTTCACCAAATTTGGTGAGGTAACCGACTGTACGATAAAGATGGACCCTAACACAGGAAGATCCAGAGGCTTTGGATTTATTCTCTTCAAAGAACCTGGCAGTGTTGAAAAGGTGAATTTAAGCTAAATATTTTAGATCTTTTAACTTCTAGGGGAAACTTTTCAGCTTGAGTTAATCATACCAAACTGTCTTTTAGGTTCTGGAACAGAAAGAACACAGACTAGATGGACGACTAATTGATCCCAAGAAGGCCATGGCAATGAAAAAGGATCCAGTGAAGAAAATATTTGTTGGTGGGCTAAATCCAGAAGCTACAGAAGAGAAAATCAGGGAATACTTTGGAGAGTTTGGAGAGGTGTGTAATGATATCTTAGTAAACTCTGAAAGTATAGTCTCCAGTTGCTGTTTAGTTTATTAATAATTGGCAAGTTTCAAAGTGAGTTAACTTGAGATGTATCAAGCCTTCTGTAACATCCAGAAGTTTCCCAACTTGAGAGCAAAGGTGGCACTTAGTGCACTAGGTGCTTCCATTGCTAGTTAGAGACCCTTGTCTTTAACTCAAAGCATTTTAGCTGATGTTAACACCAGTCTGAAGAGTTGTAAAATGGAAATATTGGATCTGAAAGCCACTGTTAGCATAGAAAGGCTTGCAACTTTGGTGTTGCATAATATGCATAAAGAAGAAATTTACAGTTTTGCTGTCCCAGTTTCTGTGCATTTAACTGTTCATCTAAAACATGAGTCTGAAAATAGTATTTCACATCTTCAGATTGAAGCAATTGAACTGCCAATGGATCCAAAGACCAACAAAAGGAGGGGGTTTGTGTTCATCACTTTCAAGGAAGAGGATCCAGTGAAGAAGGTTTTGGAGAAAAAATTCCATAACGTCAGTGGAAGCAAGGTAGAAACTCTGACTTGTAACTCTTTGCAACTCTGACTTGTAACTCTTTGCTCAAGGGTTATACCTCTACATCTAAAACCCGAAAAGGCTTTTGTAGACCTCTTGTGTCAAAGTGCCAAATTTGCAATAAGGACAGCTTGAAGTTTACCATAGTGGTGTTATGCCCCAAGTTCTGTCACAGAGGCTACCAAAGCTCTTTGACAATACTTGTGGCTTTCATTGCTGGATTTTAGGGCCTTTGGTATATTAAGTATCTAACTGCATTCATTAATTAGATGTGGAGAAATTGGCTTGTGTAGCAGTGGAAGCCAATCCAGCAGGTAGATGCCTATTTTCAGCATAGAGCACTTGCATAATGAAAGCCTTGCAGATGCCTGATTTTGCAAGCACCTGGCTGAAAGTGGCTCTGTCTGCTGGGGGACAGCTTCTGCTTTCTTCTCTCTGGGGCTCCTTTCTGCAGCCCCCCTGCTACCAAAACCTTGTCATGGAAACCCACTACAAGGATCCAGGGAGTGAATGTACACTTAGGGAAGCTTGTGCTGGGTCAGCTGGTTATGGGAGCTGCTGTAAGGGTGGTGTGAGGTGCTCTGACCAGCTGACTGCTCATCTGAGGGAATAGCTAATGGAGAGAGGCTCATGGACCAATAAATGCAGAGAGACTGGAGGCAAATGATGTGTACTTGCTCAAGGTGTCCCTGTTCCCTTGTTCTGAGGCCAGTGCTGACCACATAACTTCAGAGTTTACTACACTGGGTCATACTGTCTGACACGGACTTGGATTTGGTTTAAAACTGGTTTTGACACAATATAAATTTTGGCAAACCTAATGCAGTGGGAAAGTCACTGGTTAGCAGTGAAGTTTGTTTTCAGGAGAGATGAATGCCTAAATGCCAAGAGAGCTGAGAAATTCCTGTATCATACCTATGACTTGTTTTTGTGTTATAGCCATAGATAATAAAAAGCAGATTTACCTTAAAGGTCCTGTGGTAAAGAACTCCAAGCCAGGCTTGCTCAGGTGCTGTTCCTTTTGCAGCACAGTAGCTTTAATCTTGGACTGTGCATGGATCCAGGAACCTGGCAATTGGCTGACAGCTTGAACTGCAGCCTGGGAACCTGTCTTGGAAAGGCCAGTCTGTTAGTATTTGATAAATGGTGATTTCAGGTGTTGGTAGGGGTGTAGTACAGTCCATCCACATACACAATGTGTAGTGTGTACAATAGCTGCCAGGAAAACTCCTTTTTGTGCATTTCTCAGAATCCTGTTCATTCAGTGCAGGTCAGGTAAAGCAGTCTGATAGCAAGAGCCTTGTCCTGGAGCTTGTGCCAGGTGAGAGGGCAACCTTGTGGCTCCACAGCAACTCTTCATGGTGAAACTGATGGTAGGGAATAGCAGGATAAAATACCCTGACAGCAGTGGCCTCTTGGAAAGGCTGACAGGGACTTACCTTAGCCCAGGTGGCAGAATAAATCAGATGTCCCTGCATTAGTGCTGCTGACCTGACCAGGAGCACAGCACGTACACCTCCTTTGCCTCCAGAGGAACCTCTGGCTTCTCCAGGTGCTCGGGTGGGGGGCAATGCTGCTCTGAGACACTTCACAGACTCTTCCTTGTTTTCTATTTGCAGTGTGAGATTAAGGTAGCACAGCCAAAAGAAGTGTACCAGCAGCAACAGTTCAGTAGTGGAGGAGGAAGAGGTAGCTATGGAGGAAGAGGCAGAGGTGGAAGAGGCGGCGGTAAGTACCACACACACTACTTTAGTATGGACACATTCTAAATAAGTTGTGTGTACTAAAATGGGATTTTGTGGATGGTTTTCCCTTCTATAGCTCAAAGTCAAAATTGGAATCAAGGTTATGGCAATTACTGGAACCAGGGTTATGGGAATCAAGGATACGGCTATCAGCAAGGTTATGGTGGCTATGGAGGCTATGATTATTCAGGATATGGGTATTATGGATATGGACCAGGCTATGATTACAGTAAGTAAAGAGAACTGTATTGGGTATAAGCAAGCATAACTAATTAGCAGTTTAATGCATTTGTTCTCTTGTTCATAGGTCAAGGCAGTGCAAATTATGGGAAGACACCAAGACGTGGTGGTCATCAGAATAACTACAAGCCATATTGATCAAACTTATTCAGGTATGCAGTGGCATGGTCTCTTTTGGAAAATGACTGCGTAGGTTTTGTATACAATGCTGTAGATGGATACTTCAGTTCTGTACCAAATTTAACTTTACAATAAATTTCTATGGCCTGTTAAATGTGCATCTTACTTGGAAGAGCTCCCTGGAAATGTTTTACATGTTTATTACTTACCAATAACTAGTTGTCTAGACAGTGTGGTGTGTCATTTTCAGCATTGCTGAAGATATTAATTAATGATTTTATTAATAGGTTAAACTGAAACTGATTTTGAGGGTCTGCTTAAAGCTGCAGCTCTGCATCTAGGGACTGCCTCTTGGAGTTAACTATGGACTCTGCATTACTCCAGTTGTACAGAATGAGATGCATCTTAGGGAACCAGTGTCACTTTCCACCTTTTTATTTTGTATTGTTTTTGTGTCATACATTTCCTGTAATGGAAGTGTTAATTTTACTGTACTTTTTGGTACCTTTTTGGAATCTAATGTATTGTAAGGTATTTTACATGTGTTCTGATTCACCATGACATGGATATTGAAGCTATCCTAGCTTTTGAAATAAAAAAGGCGTAATCTAGTGTCTTGTGCCATTCTTCAGCTCATGTGTTAGTAAAACACCAGTATCCTGTTCCCAGAACTTAGTTCATGGCAGTACCTTGATAGAGTAAGAGTTGTGCTTAAATGTTTTTAATCTTAAAACTAGAAGGCTGTGTTGGTAGTTGTGCTCACTTGCAGTTTGGGTGGCAGCTAAAACCTGCTGTCACTTGTGCCTGGAGGTTGTGAAGGAGAGCTCAGGTGAGAAGCCCCAGCTTGGTGGGGCTGTGCTGGTGAGGTGGTGGCTCTGCTCTAGGCAAGCTCAGAGTGACTGGAGTGGTGTCTGCTTTGGGCTCTGCTAGGAGGAGCCAGAGCTGTAGGTGTCAGGTAGGGCTTGGGAGTCTGGACAGCACTGCAGGAGGGAGCTGAGAGGTGTGCAAGAAGCTGGCTGCACTTCCTCCATGTTTCACTGTCTTGTCTGCAAGTTGTTAATAGGCTGTATATACCTGCCTTGAAAGGCAGGTTGGACAGACACTCAATTACCAAATGCAAAGTCTGAATTTTTGCAGCCTTTTTGTATAGTGGAAAAGGCTAAAAGAACTTCCACTGCAGTTGTGGGTGGAAAAAACATCTCTTTCTCTAGAGATGAGTGACCAGCTAGAAATACTCTCCTTTTTTGACTTTACTGTTAGTTTACTGCTATTTTAAGGCAATAAGTGTCATGTGATTTGCCTGTCTTGTTGCAGACTCTTAAGTAGCAAGCTCTACTGCACAAAGTAAACTTCTAATCTTTGTTGCAGTGATCAATTTGATATTAATCTCCTTTTAAAGCTAAAATCTCGCAATATTTTTTTCTTGTAACAAATTCTTTTTGAACAAGTAACACCTGCAAGTGGAATCAAATCAAGTAACTAAGACAAGAAACAAACACATGTTACTAGTGACCTTTCCAGGTTTTTTTAACAAGGGATGCAGCTATTTCTGCATGAACTATAATCTGCTGCTCCCTGCTGGTTGTCCTTGAAAAGAAAAACTTGCTTGTAAGTTCAGAAGTCTGTAAGACTCTTCTGGTGTTAGGTGGAAGTCTTTTGAGTATTGGAAAAAAAATAAATCAGATTTTAAATCTTATAGTTGACAACTTTACAGCTGGACCATGGAACCTGCAGCCCAACTTAATTGCAAATAAAAAAACCAGCAGATCACTGAAAAAAAATGAGTACAGTATTTAGAAGTCTTGCTGTCTCAAGATTTAAAATTTAAATACTTTATTACATACTTTTAATTTTTTTTTTTTCTGTGAAATAAGGGGTAGCAGAATATTTTTCTAGCAAGCACTTGGCCCTCCAGTGGGAAAACTGCATGGTACCAGGACCATAGTGCTGCAGTCCTTCTGGCTAGTAGTGTCCTAGCAAGAGTTTGTCAGCTGCTGTTGTGTGGTGGTTTTTGTCAGTAGGTGCTCAGGTAATGCTTCCTTAACAGGTGATGTGGCCTTAGGCAGGAACTGAGGATACTGGTACTTAAATGCAGAGCTGGCTTTTCCCTTTCTTCTTTGCATGAAAAGTTTGTGATACAAAGAACTGCCTGGTGAAAGTAAAGGCTTGTACACAAGGTTGTTGCTTATGGCTGTAAACTCCTCTTAATTTACTAATCCTACTTGGATATTTCTTGAGGACAGACTGTTTGTAAGAAGTGGTTTGGGAGCCATAGCCCTCAGCTGTCTGTCCCTCATGTGTTTGATGTCAGGAATTTGGAACTGAAGTTTTTGACTTAACATGGTGGCTTGAGAGTGTTTGTTGGATATAGTACTACTTAGGGACCTTTTTCTGACACTGGCTGCTGAAACTCATCAGAGTCCTGGGAAGGACTGGGTGTACTGGCACCTGGAATGGTGTTTGCAAAGATAGCTGAAGACTTGAAAATACCAGAACCCATTGGCTCATCCTAATTTGAAAAAGTCATAACCTGAAAGTACGTAAATTTAGCAAATGTATTTTGTAGTGGCCATTAGAAAAATCCTCCTTTAGAATCAGTTTTAGATATGCAGTTTTAAATAAAAGCCAATTCCACACTGCCAGAGTTGAGACAAGCTCTTGTAAAATTTATTTCTCCTAGAGCTTTTACTAAAAACAAGATAAAGGAAAACAGAAAAATCAGAGGTGACTTATCTGGCCTAAGACATACTAGGATGAAGATTAAATGTGCATTATTATAGTAGAATAATGTTTCTTAGTAGTAGATCTTGAACATTGTTTGAAACCTATGGAAAGAAAATAATGTTATGGTTTTTTTTTGTAAAAGTATCATTAAAAGAAATTACTTCATTGCCTCACTTTCGCTTACATTATATGTAAGTGTCTTACTAGTACTGTACTTAGTAAGAGGCTTTTTGCATTCTTGGTTTCCTGTAGAAAATAAAGGCATTTTTCTTGCTTAGTTTAGATCACAGATAAGTACATTAAGTCATTAGGCCTCTAATTTGCACTGGCACTGTTCAGTAATCTTTCTGTTCCTAAGAATAAGTAGTATAAACAGCTGTATGTCTTTCCATTAACTTGCTAAATAAAATATTAACACATTTCTCTTGTGCCTGCTATACTAATATACACTGACCTAAAAACGTATTTCTCCTTAGCTCAGGGCCATAGCACTGTGAATGTCACTGTGGTTGAGGCCACCAATGGTTACACTGCTCCCAATGACCACATTAGGTGCACTCCTGCCCAGCTGTCCAGAGTTCTACCAAACACTGTGGGTGTCTTTCAGTCAGAGTAGTTTGGAGAAGTACTGAGTGTACAAAGGGTGTTGTTACCAAGGTGTTAACTGTGAGTTACACTCTGCTCATGAGTGTGCAGCAAACTGAGTTGCAGCTAGATGTTCTCTTGGCAGCCTACTGAGGGACCTCACAGATGAAGACATAACAAGGCTTTGAAGACTTAACAAGACCAATCTTACTCTGATTTCCACAAACTTTTGAGTCTAGGGCTAAATGGACCCTGATGGATGAGATGCCAACTGTGAACCTGAAATGACACTTAAGGGGAGATCTGCTGAGAAGTGGTTATGCAGCTGGAGCCTGAAGGCACTGAGCAGGAAGCAGAAAAGCTCTGTTTGTGTGGATGTGCAGTCATTTGCATGCTCTAGAGACAGTCATGTCTGGGACATGTTGGCCCTTAAAACAAGTGATGCACACAGTGTTGCTGGGAGGGACTGAGTGATAGAGGGCAGTTGTGAATGCTGGATGTACACAAGTGTGGTCCATGCCTGGAGATTCCCAGAAGTTCCTGCAAACTTTGAGTAAAGGCATCTGTGGAAGCTTTATTCTGACAGTGCTTGTGAAGTTATGTTTAGAAGTTGGCTTTTAAATCCTACTGGGTGGCTATAGGTAAATACCTGCTCAGGTGGAACAAACAGGTGTTTTCTATTGGTTCAGACGTTCCTTTTCCATATCTGAAGACAGAATAAGAAACAACTTAGAAAAGCCATGACTTTGTGACATTATTTACATGTAACTTTCTTAATGCTAAGTCTGTAGAAGTTGTATAAAAAGCTAAGTGGCAAAAGCACATAGATTACAGCTTTCAGGAACAGGACATATTTTACAAATTGTGCTTGTTTGGATAAGGTAAACACTCAAACCTCAGCCAGAGCACAGCTATTTTAAAAAGCACATGCAGCTGTAGAGGAAGTAGTTTTGTTGGAAAACTTAACAGAATAACTGAGAAGGGAAGGCTATGTGCTCAGCATTTACCATCTTTGCTCCATTTTAGCATTTGTGAAAATCTGGCTCAGTAGCTCAACATTGTCTTCAGGAAAGTTCAGAAACCACCCACTATTTTTGAAGTTTTGATAATTTTTTACCTGTTAGTATTTTGTCAATTGTCTCCACAACAAATTTTGCATCCTCCATATTAAAACACATCGGGGGTTTGAATTTCAGCACATTTCTTCCTGGCCCATCTGTACTCAGTAGAATATATTTTTCCTTAAGTCTGGAAAGAGCAATAACAAAGAAGTACATTTTGCTCTGTATGTAGCTCAGTGTCATGGTTTGACAGACCACATCCCAGAAAACTCACTTTCTCTCAAACCACGACACTCAGGAAAACTTGCAACACCAGCCTGCAGGATGTCACACTTTCTACACTGACTGGTTTCAGTTTTGGCCAGCTGCTTGTGTTTTAGCAACTCCTGTACCTTGTTATTAGGTCCTCTGCTTCTGCTGTGGCTGGAGTCCTTTCTGCCTGGTCCTTGATTAAGTCCACTCCAATGAATAAACCACAACCTCTGAAAAAGAAATAAAAACAGTCTGTCAGAGTCAGTGTCAGAGAAAGGAACTACAAGTGAACTAAAAAAATGAGGCTTTTTTTAACACCAGACCGTTACTGCATGAGAATTACCTGATGTTTGGCTACTGTTAGAAAAAAGTTTTGCTGCTCTGAAGAAATGGGGTAATACAGACTATTGTCTGCTCACCCTGGTGAAGCAAGACAGGATGTTAAGTATGTTTCCATCTAGCTCATCACTTCTGTACCCTGTGCACTTGAACTTTGATTTCAAACAGCAGTTTGAACAGTCTTGGCAGCTAATAAATAGATAAAACAGTAGTGGCCCAGAGTGGCAAAGTACATGAGACTTCAGCTAAGCTCAAGTTTGTTTTACTTCATCGTACAGGAGGCTATTTTTGCTGAAAACACAAGATTTTATTAATTTCTCAAAACACAATCTGTTGGATTGAGTTGTTGGACTGAGTGAACCAAAGAGAAAGCAGCCAAAAATGTAAATAAGACACTGATACCTGACATCACCAATGATGGGATGCTTGATTTGCTGCTCCTTGAGTGTCTTCATCAAGAAGTTGCCTACCTCTGTGGCATGAGCCTGAAGGTGTTCCTTCTCAATTACATCCAATACAGCTAATCCAATGGCACATGAAACAGGGTTCCCACCAAACTGAGCCCAGGAAAGGAACACACAGCCATGGAAAGGGAAAAAAGATGAAATCATGTCACTGAAAGTGTAGCCTCAATGATACAAGGAGCACATTATTACTTTTATCAGATGGTGCCAATACATAGTCACAGGCTAGAAACATAGAAAAGTACAGTGACACAGTTCCTCTTTAGTTACTGTGTGGCAAATACTCATAAAAACACACCATGAGTATCTGATTTAATCCTTAGGCTCCTTTACAGAAGTGGGCAGCTGTTTACTTACTGTGTTAAAATACTCCACTCCTGTGGCCGCAAAAGCTTCTGCAATTTCTTTTGTTGTTGCTACACAAGCAAGTGGGTGCCCATTTCCTATTGGCTTCCCCATAGTGACAATATCAGGTATAAAATCTTCTCCCTGAAGCTGGAATGCCCAGAAGTGCTTGCCAACCCTGCCAAAGCCAACTTGAATTTCATCAGCAATAAATACACCTCCTGCCTCGTGCACATGCCTGTAACAAAACAGATTTGATTGTCTCTTAAAAGGAAGGAGAACATAGCATTTATTGTTTAGCAACATGCAGAAAGTGTTACTTTGCAAACTTTGAGGAAACAAACACATACAAGGCTATGTTGCATACTGGTGTGTGTTTATAAGCAGATCTTTGCCATATACAAAGTTGACATTCCAACACGAAGGCTTGGGTAATTTCCTACCTATCAAGCTCTGTGATACAGCAGGCAGAGAATTATCTATTTACCAAATAGGTTAAGTTAAAAAAGATAATGAATGACCACTTACTCTGCAACCTTCTGAAAATATCCTGCTGGGGGAATGATTTGACCACCAACACTTGGTAGAGATTCAACAAAAAATGCAGCAATCTAAAACACAGCATATAATGTTTGAACACAATACAGAAAGTTGTGGAGCAAGCTCTTTGTCCTTAGATGGTTTTTGATTATTAATGTGATCTTTACTTTTTCACAAGTCCATACCACTTAATTTAGTAACTCTGAATTGCACTTACAGTCAGGCACATTAATTTCTAAGACAAGACAAACAGTTAAGGAAATGATATCTTTTACCTTTCTGCCTCTCTTCTGTGCATGCTCAATAATATTTTTTACTTCATCAGCATAGGCTGTTACTGGATCTTCATGGTCTTCTCTATAAAGTCCTCTGTATGTGTCTGGAACAGGAGCCTATGCAAAGGAATAATATCCTACATTCAATATATCATAAAAACAACTTCACTCAATTGACAAGTAATTGATAAGTATAGGCTGAAGTACATACCACGTGGACCCATTCCTTTTGTCCTTCTAGATTTCTGAATTTATATGGGCTTATGTCAATCAAAGATGTCAGATGTCCATGGTAAGCACTTAAAAAACAATTGGCAGAACTAAACAGTAATTTCCTCAGTATCAAGAGTTCTTTATTATTAGCATTCCAAATAGTACAAAGTAGCCAGCTGCTATCACCTGGTAGGAAATTCAGTAACTTAAGCTGAGAACAGCTCTTATCAGAACAGCAATTTCTTACCAATAAGCTTAGTACTACTTTGGTTTGTTTTTTTTTTTTTATATAAAGGATGCAGAGGGACAGGACTTACCACTGGTGACTGGAATCACAGCAGGGGACACCTCAGCAGTATCACAAGATTGCAGAATGAGAAAGGCCTATTTCTGAATATCCTCCAGCAATGGAGTTTCCAGTGACTGTAGGCATCCTGTTCTAGTATCTGACTCCCTTCATGGCAAAAGATTTTTTCTATGTCTCATCAAAATCCATCAGGTTTTAACTTACATCTGAGGTATTTTTTCCTGTCACTATCCATCTTCACACCTGGCTCCCATCCTTTTGCTCCTTCCATGAGAGAGCTGTAGTTGCAGTGAGATCTATCTGGCTGTCTCTTGCAGCTGAACAAACCCAGCCCCTCTCCCTGCTGTGGCTCCTTCCCCATCGTGGCAGGTCACTGATGGCCCCTCCTTCCAGTGTGTCAGCAGCTGGCAAGTACTGGAGAGCCCAACCACAGCTCTCAGGGCTGGGCTGGCAAATACTTAACAGGGGGAAAAATTACTTCCCTCATCTTCCTGGTTACAGTCTTTCTACTACAGGAGGATTTCAGAAATGCTCTCACCATGGGCCAAAACTGAGCCTTGTACCCCCAAATTGCCCATGTACTCACTGGTCTAAAACGATCACATCCTCGTGTTTTGTGTACTGCCGTGCCAGTCTCAGGGCAAGGTCGTTGGCTTCAGACCTACAATGGTAAAATTCAGCAATTGTTTCATTGTGGATATCCTGAGTTTTGAAATCTAACCTCCCTTGCACTGCTCTTTGTGTCTGCAGAGAACAGACAGAACTTGATGCATGTTATGCACAAATTCCTCAGTAATCAGCACTCACTAGGTAGGACTGTTCACCAGAACAGAATCTGTCTTGAAAAGCCAGAGCACAGGAACTACTGAGTACAGGAGCTACTTTCTGAGAAACAATTTGGCTTTTTTTTTTTCTTCCAGATGAAGTTTGCTTAAGAATGTGTGCCCCCCTCCCCAACAGAGGCAATGCATTGGTACATTTAATTTTGAAATATCTGTCAAGTCAGAAGACAAATCAGACAATAAACTAACAGAGCAAATATGTACATTACTGTTTTGAGGTCCAAGGTCTTACAAATAGAATAAAACCCTTCTTAAATAAAGCACAAGTTTAGTTCCAGGTCAAGAGCTTGTAGAACCAGACCCATGTTTTTGTCAGTATCTAGTCATCCACACCAGAAATTGGTTGTTGATAAGAAAGTGTGTACTTGTCTGTATATACCTAGTAAAGCCCCTGTATCAATTCTAATGTACCCGACTTACCCAGAATTCAAAAAATAGAAGATGCATAATTTCTCAGGTAGTGTTTTTGAAAGTCTCTCTGCATAATCAACCAAGTTGTCATGAAGGTAACGAGAATTTGTATTTAACAATTGATTCTGTTCATGGGCTGCCTTTACTATATCAGGGTGACAGTGTCCAACTGCAAGAGAATGTGGAGAGTGGTTTGAGAGCTCTTCATATTACCCAAGGTGTTCATTCACATGCCAGATTAACACTGACATTTCTCTAATAGTACAGAGATATTATCAGTAGGGCCTTAATAATGGTAAATCTTGTAAAAACATTTTTGTGCTCCTCAGAAGGTTTGATGTTGCCTCCCACTGTATTTAAGGTTTGTAGTTAATCCTGGAAATTGATATGCTAAAACAAATAGTGTCTGATTTGATGCTTGGATTTAGGCATTGCCACAGTTCAGGAGTTTGAGAAGGTGCAGATAAGCTTTTCTATCAAAGAATTACTAGTCCTGATAGGGGTTAGGTTAGATTTCAAATCCTGTAAGAAAGCAGCAGTCACTTAATTATACACAATTAGGGCACCACACTGAGCAGTGGTTCTGTGACTTTACACTTAACAGTAACTTTCTCAAAACCAACAAAATGTCACTTGTTCATTTTACAATAAGGTGCTTTACTTGAGTTTCCATGGAAAAAAGATCTGTATGTTTTAGACATATTTCTAGGAAGACAGGACAGGAAGCAAGTCTGGAAAGCACATTCACACAAACCAATTCAAGAACACTGTAATTCCCCAAACTACACGTTTAAGAAAGTTTCCTTCCACTTTTCCAATTAAACACCCCCTCCCCCAGCACAGTAAAAGTACTGGTTGTTCTTTGTTCTGCTTAAAAAAACAGCATGAAATAACATAGAGTGCCATGACTTGAGCTTACCATGAGCCACATTGTTTATGCAGTCAAGGTACTGTCTCCCATTCTCATCATACATATACTGGCCTTTGGCCTTCGTGATCTTCACTGGATCAGTAGGGAAAAACAGCTTGCAAGAAGAGCTATGACAAGCATCAGAAAGCAAAATATCTTAGTGAGTTTAGTTTATCCTACTGGTAAAAAACATTTCTCCTGTTTGCTGGCACTGTCATCCTGCTTTGGTTTAAAAGGCCTTGTACTCAGATTTTCTCAGATTAACAGGAAAAAAGCACACTCCAAACCTGAAAATCCTCCTCTAGGGTCTAGCCAAAGCAGTAGAACTCACCTGTACAGCTTCATCCTGTCTTAACTGCAATTCCTGTCTGTGCTGTCTGCCCCTTTTGTTTCTTGTGTCTCTTACCTTGTGGTATGTTCTTTTTATTATTCTCATTATGTTCTTGCTATTCCTGCCAACATCCTGATTTTCCAGATAGTTTGCTGCAGGTGACTGTTTCAGCTTCACTAACCATAGCTAGAACACGGAGTGATTTTATAAGGCTGGGTTTACTTAAGTGCATTTGTTTCACTTTTTAAATGGATTGCCAAACAATTAAAATGGAAACACATCTGCCTAAGTAGGAGTTGCAGAGATTTGAGACTGAAGGGCAATGCCAAACTTCCATACTTCACTTAGTAAAAGATGTCTTATACAGAAATGATTTGACGATAAATACAAAGCCATTGTCAAATGGATGACAAAGGACAATGGTGAAGTAAGAAAGTGCTTCATTATCTTATCCCTCCCAGCAGGTATCTTGATACTTTCTCTGTGAGCTGGCAAAACAGTTGGGGGTTTTTGTAAGCTTCTCCTAACTGTTCAAAAGATGCTAAGAAAGTGCTTGCAGAGGCTGGGTCTCTGTTGCCAGTGGAAGGGCAAATAATTTAGAAAAAGATTTGATACCCAGTGTAATATTTTTCAGGTGCATATAACTGGCATAATTCTAATTTCAGCGTTTACTTTCAGCCCAACTTTTGTATTTATACAGCACATAAAAGTAGCCTTGGATTTGAATATATATGGTACAAAAATATTCTCACAGTTAAATAAAGGGGTGTGTTGCCATACTTGGTGATGGTTTATAGAATTTAAGATTTTCTTCAGGCTGGTTGAAACACCACCGGTAATGGGAAGTTTAGAACTGAGTCTTGTCCCTCATTCTGTCAAAGAGAGCAGACGTTTGTTGTTAATTCCATCACGGGTTTGGTATAATTAGTTTCCTGAAAGACGGGCTATAATAGTGGCTGAGCCAGAATCTCGCATAGCCCAGCACGGCCCCAGCCCCAGCCGTGCCTCCGCCGGGCTCGCAGAAAACGCTTTCTAAGCACTTTAGTCTCTAAACAGGCGCCCTCGGTATCATACGGGTTTACAGCGCAGTTTCATAATCCCCCTCCTTAAGAAAGGCTAATTCCTGTTAATTACAGCAGCGCACCGGGCTGTGCGGGCGCGGCGCTCCGGCGCTGCCGCCGCTTCCAGCCCGGGCGCGATGGCGCTGCCGCCGGGCGGGGCCCGCGGCTCGGCCCCGCTCCCGGCCACGTCCGGCAGCAGCGCCCCCCGGCCCCGGCCCCTGCCCCGGCCCCGGCCCCGCTCCCGCAGCACTCACCCGACGAGCTGCCGCCGCAGGGCCAGGGTCTGCTGCCGGGAGCGCGGCTGTACTGCCCGCATGGCCGCCGAGCCGCCCGCGGGCCGGCAGCGGAGCGAGGGAAGGGAGGGAGGGAGGGAAGGAGCGGCCGCCTCTCGCGGGGGCCGGGCCGGAGGGGAGGGGAGGGGCGGCAGCGGCGGCGGCGGCGGCGGAGCAGGGACGCGGGCACGGCCCGGCCGGAGCGCCCGGCGCAGCCCCGGCAGGGACACGGGCACCGCCCGGCCAGAGCGCCCGGCGCAGCCCCGGCTGTACCCGGAGCAGGGACACGGGCACCGCCCGGCCGGAGCGCCCGGCGCAGCCCCGGCTGTACCCGGAGCAGGGACACGGGCACTGCCCGGCCGGAGCGCCCGGCGCAGCCCCGGCTGTACCCGGAGCAGGGACACGGGCACTGCCCGGCCGGAGCGCCCGGCGCAGCCCCGGCTGTACCCGGAGCGGGGACACGGGCACTGCCCGGCCGGAGCGCCCGGCGCAGCCCCGGCAGGGACACGGGCACTGCCCGGCCGGAGCGCCCGGCACAGCCCCGGCTGTACCCGGAGCACGGAGCGGGTTCTGCGTGCGCCCGGAGCGGGGCAGGAGCTCAGCCAGGGACCCGGTGGGCAGCGCAGCGCTTCCCTGACAGGAGTGGGGAGAGATAGGGACAGGCTGCGGCCCCTGGGGCCCTGCAGGGCTGCTGGCAGCTCACCCTTACCGCGCACCCAAGGGCTTTACACTGCCCGGGTTCATCCAGCCCCGCACCCCACTCACCTCGGGCTCTTCAGGATCATCAGCACTGCTATAGCACTCTTTGTTTGAAATACACATTGAGGAAGTTTGTTTTCTAGTTGAAAATATTCAAGCGGGTAGCTAAGGTGGTAGAACTGAGATAATTCTTCCACATCACTGTTAAAGCAGAAGTAGACCCAGCCTTTTACATGTTGTAGCCCTGTGTTTGGTTGGTGGCAGATAGGGAAACACCTGACTGACTCCTTCAGAGCCAATCCTAAAGCAGGTAATAGTTAGGATTAAGAGAGGAAATGCTGTCAATCAGATTAGAATGATCTTTCTTCCATTCCTGTGTGACTGGAATTACCTAAAGAAAAATAGGATAAAGAACCAGAAAGGAGGTTCTTTGATGGATTGAATTCTGCTATCACAGGTGTATCCCATAACCAAGTTCATCAGATTTTCCAGCTTGATTCTAGAAGATGACACTTTTTTTTTTCCTTTCAAATACATGTTCACATTCTTTTGGTTTAAATTAACAAATAGCTTTTAAAAACTCTAGAAAAACATAACTGATAATTTTAAAACTACACTTGGCAGACTTTGCTCACTAGATATAGCCACCAATAATTATCTCTAGCTGCAATTACTTGATGAACACAGGAGCAGTTTAAATTTTGTGCAATATGGAGAATGCAAAACCAAATTGCTGTGTACTTAAAGTTAGATTGAACTTAGTCTAACTACATTGTTTCATAAGGGTCAGGTTTTAAGTAACAAAAGACAGTAGAGAAAAAGTTAATAATGGCTGTTAATCTTTATTTGAACTCTTGTCTGGTTAAGATATTTACTAGCTATTTATAATAACAACCTGAACATTTACAATTTGGAAAGTTTACTCTTGGTTACAAATGCAGAGTTCATTATACATATTCACACAATTGTAAAAGTAATCTGTACAGAGAGACCATTTTTTAAAATCTAGTCTTTGCTTTTATTAAAAAAAGCACAAGAAAAAAGTTTTTTTAGGTCTCAAGGTAATGTATTGTCCATTACAGCTTTAAACTAGAAATACATGATGCAGTACTAATTAATACCATTTTAACATGTTAAAGCAATGGATAAGAAATACTGTTATTAATGCCTTCATTTTTAAAGTAGTTGTTCCCCAAAGAAGAGTAAATAGAATACTTTTCGTGGCACATACATGATCAAAAGTCACAAAAAGTCACAAATGGAGATGTTAAGTACATTTTCTGTAATTTTAATATCTATATATTTCTTTTCAAAGGTCATATACAGAGATTTAGCCAGTTGTGTATAAAATACCATGTAAATACATTCAAAACTCATTTTTGGCAAGCTGCAAACACACAAACAGCCCTTTCTCCTCTGAACAGCCTCCCTGGAGTGATGCAACCACTCAAGTAAATAAGGGGCACTTGCATAACGTGGTGGAGGATTAAGCTCTATTGACATAATTTCAAAACAAATATGGACAGATAAGGCACATGTTGGATTATTTTCTAAACTGTATACAGTTTTGAGATACCAGCAGGTACAGTTTCTCAAATGCTGTTGTATACATCAGTTTTGTATCATTTCTATGTCCAAAGTCATGTAATGCAGCAAAGCAGGGGACTTTCAGTTTTGACTGTGGTATTTGTGCTGAACATTCTTCATATTCAGTATTTTTGATTGTTTTTAAGATAGCAGAAAAAGAAACCCAAACTGAAACTCAAAAAGCTGTTATGGAACTCTATAAAATTGCAGTCTATGAAACAAACCAGCAAACACAACAGGCTCCAGCTCTCATTTGCACTGATGGCAGCTTAGGACCTTTCCTGCTAAATTTAGAAGTTCAGTGGATATCATGGGTGCTTTTGCTTTGCAAAACCAGACCTTAATTTTTTAACATAGTTTTCAAGAAATACAAGATTCTTAAAAATAAGCACTCACCTACACTTAAAAAGTTCCTGTAAAATGAACTTTTTAAATACAGTGTTTAACGTTATAATCAAAAGCAGCAGATGGGATCAGTGTCATTTACAGATACTTGGGTCAACTCCTTTTAAAGTTTCTGTTCATTAATATCTAAGTTATGTAAGAAACCACACAAGTGAGCTGACACAGAAGTGAGCTAATTGTTCCATGAAATCACACTTGAAGGCAACTTGTAGAACTTAACAAAACAGGAATTAATTATTTGTCCTAAGTCATAGGAAAACCACAAATGTTACTAATGCATTTCTTACTCCACTCTCTTGTCAATAATTCAACTTCTTATGCATGGAAAACTCGTGTTTCCCAGCCTTGCTGTGGTCTCCTCCAGGCTCTCTATGGTAGTATACAATAATATCATCTTTTAAGTTCTTCCTCCATTCATATCTAAGTGACAGATTTTTAGCACTTGCTTTAGCTGCAGGTTACACAAGTCACACATCCCTTGTGTTGTGCCATCTGATGGGACACAAGCACATGGCAAAGTTGCAGTAGTTCACCTGGGCATGTGAAAGTACTAAAAGCCATTTTTAGCTTACAAATATAAATTATCACCAGGGAAAACAAAGTTTAGGATTGTTTTTTTACTCACTGGTTTGCTTCAGTCTGTCATAGATTCCCCCAGGTGGAGCTCTGGAGTATTTCAAACTGCAATAGTTATGGTCAGTGCCAGAGACACAGTTAAAAGGCAGGTGACTGCAGTAAGTGACACTGAGACTGGACTAACTAGAGTGAGTAGTTTCTCTCTGCCCCTTCCTTTTCTTTAAAAAAAAAAACCAAACAAACAAACCAACCAACTATTGCAAAGGGTCAAGAAATGTGCTTACATAAATGCTGTCCTGTAAAGTTGCCAGGTTCAGTGTGTGCCACAGTGCTTGCCTTGGCAAGTTAGAGTGCCACAGGCCTTCTGAAATGATCCATATGTGTAACTTCTCACTTGAAAATCTCCTGGTTAAACCTCTGCAAGGCTGGCTGAGCTGCTCAGCATGTCAGCCTGTCCTGAACAGGTAAAAAGCAGGAATTTCAAATTAAACAAAGCAGCACTGAGGTTCTTTCCACCTCTGGACATTCCTTCCTCTGCCAGAGCACATTGGAACCAAACTCACTGATCTGAATTCAGCCACACACCTCTGCACTATTTGTCCCGGATGAGTGGTTTGGGGACATTTAAATTTTTCTATCTTAATCATTTACAGTTATTAATATTTTGTATATCTTAGAGAAAAATCTGTTGCCTACAAAGAAAATAATTCAGAGCTTCCATGCTCAAAATTTAAAAAATAGAAATGTGTCAGGAAACCTACTATATGTAGATTTTATGTGCATAATGCTGTAAATTATCTGGGCAACTGAGAATTTACAGATATGTGTCCCAACAGATATCTGGGACTGAAAAAACATGAGAATACTGTTCTATTTCCCAAGAAAGAAATAGCAGATTTGGAAAAAAAAAATTCTATCCATGCACTCCTGGTTTTACAAGTATCTATTCAAACTGTAGAGTTACACAAAAGCCAGGTGTGCTGTAAATTAAGAGACACTGTCACAGCACAAAATTTGCATAAAATTTGCTTCTATTTTAAAAAAGTCTCCTCTAGAGGGCAGCATTGAACCAGCATTCACCTTTATAATGCACAAATTGCATTGACAGGCCAGGGGAGTTATTCACCATTATGAGAAAGCTGGAAACTTCATGGCATCTTAATAGTTTAATTAATTTTT